CACTTCGGCCGCCGCAGCCGCTGCCGCATCGGCTGCCGCCAGCTTGCGCCTCGCAGATGCAAGCTCTGCCTGTAGCACCGCCGAGGCCTCCAAAGCCTCAGCCGCTGCAGCCGAGGGCGCTGGCGTGGGCGACGCTCGTGGCGCCGCTGGTGGCGGTGGCGATGGCGGTGGCGCTGCCGTCGCCGGTGGCTGCTCAGGAGGTGCGTCGGCGACGCTGGCGGCAGCAGCGGGAGTCGCGTCCGCGTCGGCGTCGCTGCAGAGGTACCCGCGAAGTCTGGTAATTTTGCTGCGCGCCATCTCCTCGTCGCCACGCTTCATGAGCTTTATGAAGTTGCGCCGGTAGTTGTGCGACAGCTTTGAGTACAGCTCTTCGGTCATGCCCCACTCCACCAGCGGCTCAGGGATCCGACGTTTCTCAGGCGCTTCGGACGCCCGGATGTGGGAGGATGGTACTGCGTGGCGTGCGCGAACCGACAGGCGGACGACGTGGCCGGCCGACGCCAGCAGCACGCCAGAAAGCGCCACCACGAACATGAATCTCCTCTGCTGTTGCCGGTCACTCCTCGCTGCTCGGTGTGAATGCGCGCGGCCATCTAGGCCCGCGGGTAGTCTCCCCCCATCCCCAGGGCCTCCAGGGCTCGCACCTCAACCTCTCACAGACCAGCGCACAGCGCCATACGACGTATTTTCTTCTCAATAACAAGGCTGTGAACAGAGTTCGTACACCGAGCAGCTGGGAGCAACTCGAGATCCCTCGAGAGTTCACGCGGAGTAGGCTGGGGCTCTACGGGACAGTCAGTCGAATCTCGGGCTCCACTTCCGAAAAATGAATTTGCGACAGCACCGAAGCTGGGTGTGTATAGTGTAAGGAGTAAGCAGCGCGCGCCCGTCGAGCGTCGTCTAGTGGGCCCGGTGTTTTGCGAAAAAAGAATCTAAATTTTTTTTCCTCCTTCAGTATCTTCCCCGGTTGTACGGCTGATAGCCATAGGCCGGCGCCGCGCTTGGTGCCCCATAGCCGGCGTGGGCCGCGCCGCTTGCGCCACACCCAGGCTTTGGAACACCGTATGGCTGTCGCTGCCCACCGTACCCGCCGCCGTAGCCGCCTCCGAGGTGCCCGTTCGCGCTCGAGGAGTCTCTGTATGCAGCAGTCGGTGCGCCGTACGGTGGCCTCGGGGGCGCATAGCCGTTGTAGCTGCCCGAGCCGCTGCCACGACCCCCGGCGCCCGGCGGCTGGTACCCTGCGTACTTTGGCGGGGCCGCCGCGACCCTGCCTCCGTTGTAGGCCCCGCTCCCGTAGCTCCCGCCACCGCCGTAGCCGCCGCCTCCCGTGCTGCTATATCCGCCGCTGCTTCCGTAGCTCCCCGGCCCGCCTCCGCCTCCATACCCCGTAGACGCGCCACCGTAGCCATAGGCACTCGAGGCAGCTCCGCCACAGCCGCTGCCGCCGCCACCATACCCGCTGCCCCCGCCACCGCCGCATCCGCCATGGCACCCCCCGCCGTATCCGCTGCTGCCGTACGCGGGTGCCTGCTTGCCTGCATTGCTGCTGTAGTGAGACCCACCACCGCCGTAGCCACCGCCGTACTGTGACGCGGGTGGGGCGCCGTAGCCACTCGGTGCTACGCCCGGCGGCTTATACCGCGCCTGCTGCGCTAGCCTGCTGGGCGGGTTGGAGCCGCTGCCGCTGCCGCTGCCGCTGCCCGCGGCAGCGTGCGACAAGCCGCTCGCCTTCTTGGGCGGCGCCGACATGCCGCCCTTGAAGTCGCCCGGCTCCTTTTCGCCGTCGTACGTGACGCGCGTGGCTCCGACACGGATGTCCTGCTTCCGGCTCGCCTCGTGCGTGTCGGGTCGTGAGGCGTGGCCCGAGCTGCCAGGGCCGAGGGGCAACTCGGGTTGCTGTCCGGCGAGGAAAAAGGGGTGGCCGAGCGCCTGGGCAGCCGTCGGGCGCTTCGCCGGGTCCCAACGCATCATCTCCGTCATCAAATCGATAGCTTCCGCTGACGCGGATGGCACGAGCTGGGACAGCGGCGTCGACACAAACTGCGGGAATTTGAAGTTCATGCTGTGCGCGAGCGCGAGGCCTTGCTTCCAAGAGTTCGCAGTCGGTGTGCCGAGAACCGAGCAGATCTTGTAGATCTCATCCGCTTCAGAGGTTCCCGGAAACAACGGCCGCAGCGTAAACATCTCGGCCATGATGGTCCCGATGGCCCACACGTCGATCGGCGCCGTGTACTGAGGCGCTCGCAGCAGCACCTCGGGAGCCCGGTACCAGCGGGTAGAGACGTAGTCAGTGTAGGGCGGCTTGGACCGGATCTCGCGCGCGAGGCCAAAGTCGGCCATCTTAAGCGTGTTGCCCGACACCAGCATGTTCTCGGGCTTGATGTCGCGATGGAAGAAACCGTGCTTGTGCATGTACGCGAGCGCCTGCAACATCTGGTACGTCATGTTGCGCACCTTGGACTCAGACATGAGCTTCTCGCGGTCCTTGCACAGCTGATAGAGGTTCATGTCAAGGAACTCAAACACAAAGTAGAGGATATCGTTCTCGCGGATCACCTCTTTCAGCTTGACGATGTTGGGGTGGGACATCTTGCGCAGCGACTGCACCTCTCGCAGCTGCATACACTCCTCCCAGGAGTAGAACTTCTTCTTCATTCGCTTGATGGCGACCACCTCGCCAGAGGCACGGTTGACTGCCTTGACGACGGAACCGTACGTGCCATCTCCAAGCGGCTTGATGGTCTTGTATCTGTTCATGGCCCGGCACAGAACGCCGCGCCTGCGCAGCGCCGCCAGGAGGCAGCCTCAGGTGCGCCCACCGCCCATCAAAGGGCTCGCGCGCTGGCCGTGTGTGTGGACGGGCGTGGCACGCACCCTCGTCGGCTTCGACTCTGCCGATGCGCAGGGCGCGCGCGCGCCAGAGGCAGGGAACGGCTGCTCAGTCTGGCGCCTGTGACGACGGACTGAGGCGTTATCTGTAACAGATTTGCGATACATATGGCGGAGGACGCGGTCGTGACCGCCCTCGACGGGAGCGCGGCCTTCTTGATGATGGACGACATTCTGGAGCGGCTCAAAATGCTCGACTACGAGCTCGCCTTCCGCGGCTTCACCCGCCTCACCCACACCTACTTTGCCATGCCCGCGCCAAACCCGAACGAGCAGTTCCACTATTTCATGGCGCTCTGCTCATGGCTGATGGGACTACTCGGGTCCGCGTGGCAGGCGCCGAGCCAGTCGGATGATCCGAACCTCGCCGCACAGTCGCTCCACTCGCAGCTGCAGCAGGTGGGCGCCCCACTCTCCTTTGGCGGCTGGCAGAAGCTAAAGCAGGGGCACGGCGAGCCCTGCTGCGTCATCCTGCAGTGGCTTCTGCAGCAGGCGAGCGGCCAAGCCCAACGACCGCATGCGCGTTTGGTAGTCCCGACGCCCTGGCCCGCTGCGACAGATCCCGATCGAGTTCAAGCCAGCCCTGCACGCAGAAGAGGCGGAGTATGAGGATGCTGCGGTGGCAGAGGACGAGGCTGACGGCGCACATGATATGGCCGATGAGGCGCGGAAGGAGCAACCAGACCAAGCCCGCGCCGTTCATAACAAATCCTCGCCACCGCACAGGTTGGCGACGCCGAGAACGAGGAGGAGGAATACTACCACGGTGGTGGTGACGAGGCGGGACCTTCGGCTGGCCGGCAGGGCAAGCTGACAGACAACATCCTTGAGGCGCAGGTTGAGCCAGAGGCTTGGAGAGTTGAGCTCGAGCGGGTAGCGCCGCAGCTCAAGATGCAGGTACGCCTACTCCCTTTATCCTCTCCACGTGCTGTCCTCTCCAGACGCCTTGGGCTTGCGCGTGAGTAGGTGCTATCGGACCCCAAGGAGTGGCGCAACCGGCTAGTCAACACAAAGTCGCACCAGGCGAAGCTGCAGGCGCTCGCGCCGGAGACGGCCGCGACGCTCGAGCGGCTTGCGGAGGATCTCGCGCGGACTTTGCAGGCCATTCAAAACGCCGAGCAGAAGGTCAACACCCAATGCGCCGACGCGGTCGCGCGCTATGCAGAGAGAAAGGATGAGCTGAGGGCTCGCATGGAGGAGTACAACAAGAATGCTGACACGATCAACGCGCTGACCAGTGATCTTCAGTCCGTCTCGGAGGATCTCGCCAAAGTGAAGGCGCAGATGGACACCCGAGGTGCGTCGATGACGGACACAAAGCCGCTGCTCAAGGTGAAGACGGCCCTTACGCAGCTGCGCACCGAGACAAAACAGCTCGAGATTCGCATCGGCGTGCTCACTTCGACGCTGACCTCGAAGAAGCTCAAGGAGGCGAGCATACCGAGGAACTCAGAGGTTTCCAAGCGCGGCGCAGATTGCGAAGCGTTCCTTGACGACGACGATATGGAGCAGCTCTAAGGACACAGTCTCTCACATTGTGGACCGGAACATATTGTGAATCTGAAATAGAGCTCATCTCAGAGCACGTGAGGCCGGACGCTCTCTCTCGAGTGTGCGCATGGTGTGCAGGATCTTGTTCCTCGCCCTGCAAAAAATACACATGCACATGCACATGTGCATGGACAGGCGCATGTCCATGTCCATGTCCATGTCCATGTCCATGTGTCATGGTGCACACAAGTCACCGAACGACCCAGGACAGCCTCTGGCGCGCACATTAGGTGCGAGGGTTCGAGTGTGCACAGAGAGTCAGTAAAAAAGGCCGTTGCGCGTTGCATGGCGCGTTGGCAGATGGTACATGGTAGTAAAAGGCGGGGCGTGTGGCTGTGGGGCGACACACACACGCTCACGGGCACGGGGCGAAACGTCTAGCACAGACCAAAAAGGTGAACGAGAAATTAGCACAGGCGGCTTCGTGGGTGAGTTCTACGGCCTCTCTCTTTGTTGCCTCGCTCGTCGCGTCAGAAGGAAACGACCCCCCGTAGGTGGGGGAGCGTGCCCCCTTTACCCTCCCGAGTCGCGAGGAATTCGATGTGTCGCTTGAACTTTGTCGTGTCAAGTCCGTTCGCATGCTCCGTCTTCGTGACGTCGACCAACTCGCCGAAGGTGAAGTGGGCCGTCGCCGGCACGGGCATCGGCAGCTTCCACGCGGCGGCAATCCGCAGCTTTGGGACCGTCGCCAGCGAGTAAGCGTCGGTGATGGCGGCGACACCGCGCGCGAGCGAGAACACTCCGTGCATGATGGGCTTTGGGAGGCCCATCGCCTTGCAGTAGATCGGGAGGTGGATCGGATTCATGTCTCCTGAGCACGCCGCGTACTTTTTCGAGTGATCGCGCTTGATCTCCTCGACAAACTGCTTGGGCGCCGAGGCGGTGGGCCCCAGATTGGTCTTGGCAGCCTGCTCCGCCGCCGTCAGCTCCGGCCGGCGCTTCCTCGCGGCGCGCGCCTTCTTCGCGTCGGTGGAGGTGAAGGTCATCGTGGTGCTCACCAGCAAGCGGCTGTTCAGCGGCGAGGAGACCTCGATGAGCACGTCGCACTCGGCGCCGATCTCGTTGAGGCGCGAGCCGGTGACGGAGATGCTGTAGTTGTACACGCCGAGCACAGAGGCGTCGATGCACTCGAACTGCTCGATGACGTGCTTGGCGTGGACGACTCCCATGACCGAGAGCGGAAAGTCCGGCGAGGCGACAACGTGGCGGATCAGCGCCGACATCGTCAGCGGCAAGGAGACGTAGACGGCCGAGATGTGCTTTTCGATGTCAGGCGAGTGGCAGAATGCCGCCCACTTGCGGGCGAGCGGCAGGTTGAGCACCACCTCCTTGCCTTCGTGGCGCGTGCGCGCGGCGAGGACCTTGGAGCTGAACGGCGGGTAGAGGGTGCCGGAGGATTTGGTGAACACGGACGCCAGAATGTCGAGGGGGGAGAGGCCGATCATCGTGCTAAAGAGAAGGAGGATGGCCACGGCGACTGTGATCACGAGTACGATGAGGATCGCGAGCATGCTGCCGCGCAGCCTTTGGCTAGCCTTCGGCGTCGGCGAGCGTACAGAAAAGAATGAGCGCGGCCGAAGAAAAGACAGCATAGTGGGGGGGAGAACGACGAGAGTGAGAAGAATGCGAGGTGGCATGAAGGTCGCTGCAAGAATTGGTGATAAACTGCGGAGAGAGATAGGAAGTGGTAGACGCCCGAGGGTGGGCGACGGCTAACACCACACTTCTCCCCTACAGTTCCGGACGGGCATTAAGAACCTCTAACGTTAAGAACCTGAGGCTGATATTTCGGCCGGATCCCTAAGAACTCCCTAAGAACCTGAGGCTGGGCGATGCTGGGTTCTATACTACAACCATCGATGTGACCGAGACTCGCGAGCGCGGCATCCCATGCAACACACATACAAGGTTCACACAAACAACGAAACGACGCGCGAGCGCGCAACAGTCCAACATATCGCGATATCGCGGCCGCAGCCGCAGGGGCAGCTCACGGCAGCGAATGACTCTCTTGTCACGCCATGCGAACTTACTGTTCCAAACTTCCAAACTGTTTTGAACCCAGTGCGTGTTGAATTTTAATCGAAGCCGAAACGGTTTAAAAAACCATCCACCCGGTTAAGAACCTGAGGCTCGGCCCCCGACGGACCGCAAACTTAGCTAAGAACCTGAGGCTGGGCGAAATTCCTGTGCGTTCTTAATGCCCGTCCGGAACTGTAAAATCCCTGTGTGGTGGCGGCGTACCGTCCTCCCATCCCTCCCTTGGGTTGCCTGTTTTCTTTCTTTTTTATAGTGCGGGGGGGGGGGGGAAGGGGTGTGGGGGGGGGGGGGGGTTTTT